TTTGCAAGATCTTCACATGGAACATTAAAGAATTCTAAGCCAAGTCTTTTGCTGGTTCCCTCAGCAAAATATTTAGAAGTGAGATCAGAAGCCATTTAAATTAACTTACTAAAATATTGATAAAAAAAGTCGTAAAAGAAATGTTTTAAAAACAACAAATCAAAAGAAAATACTTCTATTCAATTAAATTGATGTTGCATAAAGAACACTTAGTTTATATTATACGATACATATTATTATATAACAACCTGTGGTTATGTACAATAGTTATATTGAATATCTTTAGTATAGGAATAACATAGAAAAATTTTACACTCTGAAATTATGCTCGTTAATATAAATATCATTTATTATTATTATATTTTTATTAAAAAATTTAATATTAAATTAAGGCAGCACATTTTTGTAATTTAACATGTAAAAAAAACTTTAATTATAAAAATATAACAATTACTCTAGTAGTCATATATGGTAAATGCTAAGTGAAAAGTAAACTTTAGTTACAAAAGGAGTTTACTTCTTACCATTTCAAATTATCAAAATAATTTTTTTTTAATCGGTTGTGCGTCCAATATCGTTATATCAATTATAGTCATGAAGTTGTATGCAAGATAAAGATTGGAGACAAGACATAATATCTATCGACGTGAAATTCCAATTGAGTAACTATTTTGTTTACTTATGTCAATACCATTAATTCATCAATTAAACATTTTAGTTAACCAGTTATTAATGAATACGAGCAGGTACTTTTAAGGGATAATAGGATCATTAATTTCCTAAGTTATTATTAATCAATTTTTAAATCGAACATTTAAAAAATATTATTCTGCAATTATTTCATCTTAATAAAAATACCATAGATTAAATTTAATTAAAATTACTAGTTTCTATTTTTAATCAAGTCAAATTTCAAATTTTTACACAAACTTGATGCTTGTATAAAATATGTTAACTGTAAAAAAAGAAAAATTATTTTTATTTTTTTTTTTTAGTTATGATTTTTACAGATTGTACTTTAAAATTATTATGGACTTTAAATTTTTCTAGGACGGATGTTCCACTCCTTAAGTTTGAACCTGTTCTTCATAAATGATATGATATATAATCTTTTAATTTACCGCACCAACGGTCATAAAACAAAATAAATTTCCATAGATCCAATAGGTCAAAAGTAAAATTTATAAAGATTTGATAATTAAGCGTCTCAAAAAACGTTGCTGCTTTTCTTTTGAAGACTTAAAAATAAAATTATGTTTTACATTGCTAAAGTTATCAATTATAAACATTACATTTATAGTATTAATAGCCTTTTTTTTTAGTATTCATTTATTTATCTATAATTTTATTGTTCTTATTGACAAGCTTTGTTTATTACTCTATAAAATTATCAGTTTGCATAAGACACCATTGAAATTTAAAATTAGTTGCTGCCTCCTAAAAAATTGTTAAAATTGATACAATTCTACTCATTATTTGAGTTTAAATTTAGAAGTGAAAAATATATGTCAACAATAAAACGTTTTCCTTCTAATTATAATTTTAAATATTTAACTCACTAGATTGCAGTATATGTATATACTCAAGTTCTTTTAAGAGGCATTTAAACATTTTCCCAGGTTACAAAATATAGACATTTTCCATCCTGTTAACAATTTAACCTAAGGCATTTTAAAAACCTGTTGCTTGCTGACTCTTAACTTAAAATTTTTCTTTAAAAATAAAATATTGACATTTTAGTAAAAATGCATAACATAAGTTGTATATTTATCAATTAGGGTATGTTTAGTAAATAGATACAAAATATAATTATACTTTTGAACTAACCTTTGTACAAGAGTTGTAATGATTTTAGTAGATTTAATTAATTTTCTTTAGAATATTATAATATTCTAAAATACAATGCCGTCGGATTTGGAGAAAAAACTTAAGGGTCTTTGGGTTCCAACAAAAAAAAATAAAAGAAATAAAAAATTGTTTACTTATTTTTGACCCGAACTACACACTTTTAAACTTTGCCTGTCAATTCATTTTTCTTATGAATAATTTTTCTTTGTGAAATTGTTGAATGTAGATGATTCAAATGATTTAATATATTTTTACTTTTGTGAAGTAATATTTGAAAATAATGACTACTTTGGTATTTTTGAAATTATTTATACAAATTTATTTGATAAAATATGAATTTAATAAACTAAACGTGTGCTAATGTACAATATATATCTATTTTGTACGAGTTTTAGTACTCAAGGGTAGGGTCTTATTCATATTATGATCAGTATAATATAATAAGTTATTAGGAACTAGTAAATTGCCTATAAAACCAAAATTTTGCACTGACAATTAGTGAGCGCTTCTAGCTACAATAACACCCCCGCCCCCCATAAAATTTTAAAAGATTGTTTCATATTTTTTGAATGTGCTGATCAGTCATTAAATTTTTTGTTGAATTAATTTTAATACTGTTATGTGAATAATGTTTTAAACACATCTTAAGTTTTGAACTTCAAAGTAACGTCCATCATATAATAACAATATAAAACCATATAATATTTTCATTGCATTAAAAATTGTTTTGAGAGGAACAATAAAAAAAATTTTGATATCTTAATAATTTTTGATTCGGCTAATATAAAATAACCATTTTTTTACAAAAAATTTTGATGCGTAAATAACAATTTTATATATTATAGAAATTATTGAGTTAAAAACGCTTTAATGCGTAGAGTGGGTATACATTCGAATGAAATATGCATTATAAATATAAACTAGTACTCACTCGCGTTAAATGGTTATTTTAAAATTAAAAAAATAAAAATAAATTGTTTATTATTATATATTTTTTTTTAGAGACAAATAATAAAAATATATGCTTTTAACGTTGTTCAATTATGTAAAATTTATTAAAATCTATAAGTATCATTAGAAGAAAAAATCTAGTTCCCTGGATTTAGTGATAATGAACTATCTATTATTGTTGACTGCTTATGCGTTATGAGATATCAATACATTTTGTAAATATTAGAATATTTTGTACGCTTTAATACTGTAATGGAAATTGAGGAATTTTATAAAAATAGGTAAGTCAGCCAACCCAACTGGTACCATGCATTCATCTTTAAAATTAAAAATTAGCTTTCTTATATTTTGATATTATTTCAACTGTCGATGTTTTTAATATTTAAGTATCTTCAAAATTTAATTTATTTTAAATTAAATTTCAAGTTAAACTTGGATCAAGTTTAAACATTTTACTAACAGATATTGTTTAAAAATGAGTATGAAAATAAGATATTGTGAGTGGCGTAGCCAAAGAAAGACTATTCTCCTCTATCGGTCGTATTGTATTAGTTAATTATATCTTAAAGTCAAAATTATATCAATATTTTGACGAATCTTTGTTCAATTTTTTATACGCTTTGAATGAAATCTTTTTAGGTTTCGGGACACTTATTTTATATTAAAAACAATTAATTTGAGTTATTTAAAAAAAAAAACAAGTTAACAAAATATTGCACCAATATTCATGAGTTTAAACTTTAAACTTTATAACTAGATTATGAACTGTTTTAATCTGATCTCAATACCAATAGAGAAATAATGTACTCCTAGTTTTGTAGAACATGATGCACTAATAATAATCGATTCAACTATTAAATGTCTCTAGAGACTAAACAGTCGGTCTTGCCGATTTTCATGAGTCAATGCGCTATTGTATGTTAATGGTTACAACGTATTATCTGTGACCGTGTGCGGTGGTTCCCAACTGACTTAAATGTTGGTACAATACTTTCCTCGGGTATATTAAGCACATTTTGGAATTTAAATGAAGGTATTATCTCCAATGGTCGTTGGCGTTATTCTGTTATCGATGCTGACAAATAAAAATTCCTGGTATCAGTGTCGGTAGTTGTCAACAGACTATTGTGGCCAACATTTACACGTATGTGTATATATATATATATATATATATACGGAATATAATAATAATGGTAATCATACCGCGGGATACGAGAGAGGCTCTGTGTACGGGGCGGGATATTGTTGCGGAGTGGTGGTAAGTATATTTGCTATTGATTTTCAAAGAAACGGGACGGGGTGGGTGGACACGGTAGCGCCGGCGCCCCGGCCTAGTGTGTTTCGACCGAACATTGTTTGGTGTAATGACGAGCGCGACGGACCGAAAGCTGTTCGTTGAACAACCCTGTGCGGGCGGTGACGGCGAAGCCCTGTACAGCGTACACTAAAACAATCGTGCTTTTTTAACTGTATAAACCACCGGTGTCACGTCGACAGTAACATTTTTATACATTTCTCGACTGCAGTGTATCTGATAATTTCCATTTTACGGTATCGCCGACGGCGGGTGTGTGTGTGTGTGTCGCCCGTGATATGCCTGTCAGCGCGACGATGGCTACGGGCGGATTTCAGACTGTGATCGTTGTGGGCAAAAACGGCTGCCGTCATCGCTTCAATTCGTCAAGTAACTACAGTGTATCGACTGCGACTCGGTTTACCTCCGTTGCCGACATTCGCCATTGAATCCGAGTAAGTACAACAAATTTCAATGCCGCCTACAATATCCCGTGACCCCCTCGAATTTTCAGTAGCGTTTATCGGGTTGTAAAGGGCATCCGTATTAATTTACCCCATTGGAGAAGTTTTAAATTATAAACCTAGTGTGCATTCGAAAGCTGATAATGGCAAAAAGAACTTACCACAGTAAAATATTTGTTTGGTGTTAAAAAAAAAATTGGATCAACTCATTATCAAATTGTTGAACATTAAATTCAATTCAATTAGAATAAAATACATGACCGGCATTCTAATTATTGTTAAGATTTTCGATAAATTAGAACCTAATTTTCCTTTTTGTAATGTATTTTTTTTTTTTTTTTGAGGTCACGCATGCGTAACACCAAATTTAGTAGAATGTCTTTCGATAGGCAACAATTTAATTTCTGTTTATAACATTATAAACGTTTTGGCTTATCCCATTACGGCGAATGCATACAATATAGTTTAATTGGATAAAGCACTTAAATATAAAGTGGCTATTTAATTACCAATTCAACAAAACATTTAAAAACAATATAAACTTTATAATGACAGTTAGCACAAAACCTTTATCAATTACTCGAAAAATGTATTATTTTTTAGAGAAATAACTAATTGACAAAATTTATTTAATAGTTAATCAAAGTAGTTTTTCAATTTCAAAGCGGTAAAAAGGCAGAATAAAACAAAGGTAAATAGACAAAGTAAAAATAATTTAGCAGAGATTTGAATACGAAATGGAATAACATTGGTACGTGATAGAGATAGGTGTGTTGCGGTAATGGGCCTTTTCTCTTTTGAAAATCGAAGAAGAATAAGTCTGAATTTAAATTTGCACTCGTATATCTTCGCGTAGTTCTTATCATATCTATGATAAATGT